GTAATCACTAGTCAGTCAACACTGAGGTTGTGAGTTCGAACCCCGCTCGTGCGGGTGTACTCGACTCCAATCTTAATTGACTAGGATTGTCAGTTTTCCTATCGAAGGTCGGTGGTTTTCTCCGGGCACTCCGGCTTCAACCACCAAAAAAAAACTGGCCGCCACGAAATAGCCCAAAAACGGTGCTTAAAAGTGGCGTTAAAACACCAAAAATAATAAAATAATTGACATATTTAAAGGGGTACCACAAGGTTCCATCATTGGACCCATCCTATTTAATATTTTTATAAATGATTTGTTCTTTTTTGTAAAAAATGTTCTTTATATAATTATGCTGATTACAATACTTTGTCAAAGTCTGGAAATTATTTACAAGATGTAATTTCTGCTCTTGAGGAAGACAGCAATTATTTAATACAGTGGTTTTCTTCAAATAAAATGCAGGCCAAACCAGAGAAATTTCAAGCTATCTCTCTTGGCAAAAAAACACATGATAAAAAGATTGTGTTTGATTTGAATGGTATTTCTATATCATGTGAGGATGAGGTAAAACTACTTGGAGTTACAATTGATTTTAAATTAAACTTCAGTTTACATATTTCAAATATTTGTAAAAAGGCTGCAAGGCAATTAAATGTTTTAAAAAGAATTGGGAAACACCTAAACAAACTGAGTAAACTTACAATTTATTACTCTTTTTTTATGTCAAACTTTAGTTATTGTCCTTTGACTTGGCATTTCTGTGGGGAACAAAATACCAGAAAAATAGAAAAAATACAAGAACGAGCGCTTCGCTTTATTTATGAAGACCATCAGAATTCATGCGAAACACTCCTGCAAATTTCACACCTTCCATCACTAAACACTCATAGGATGCGCTCAATTGCCTTGGAGACCTTTAAAATAATTAATAAAAAATGTCCATTATTTATTCAAGAGCTAGTTGTTATAAAAAACAATTCATATAATTTCAGGTATGTGAACACTGCTGAGGTACCTAGACCTAGAACCTCAAGTTATGGTAAAAGATCCTTAAGATTTGAGGCAGCACAAGTATGGAACTCCCTTCCCAATGAGGCTTGAATTATGACCTCTTTTGACCAATTTAGGAATTATATAAATTCCTGGTGTGGGGTGAAAATTGCAACTGCAGTTCATGCCGTTTCCATCCAGTGCTGTCTCAAAGCTGAAATTTCTTTCTTTCTTTTTATTTTTTATTATGGCCTTTTGCTCTGCTTTTATATGCATTTATTATATATACCTGCTATTAAATGCCAGTGCTTAATAATCTATTTATTTATTGCTTTTATGCTTTTTAGTTTCTTAGTATTTTATGATATTTAAGTGATTTGCTGGTTCCCCCATTCAATGCACATAGAGGTGCTTGCCGCATGAGCATTGACTCTGTAGGCTCAGAAATCAAAATTAATTTGCTTTCATTATATTTGCATGCTTTTATTTTCATTTCAATTTATTAGTATTTGCATGATGCTGCATGATTTTGAATGTGATAGTCGGTTAAAGAGCTCACCAGAGCTCATGTTTTGTCGGTTATAATGTATATATATGCCGACTCTAAATAACATTTACTTACTTACTTACTTACTTACAAGTCTGATTTTGTTTGACTTATCATTGAATTAAAACTTAATTTGTGTCACTGTTGGAGAACATGTGATAGCCAGGAGACAGCAACCGTCTGATTTTGTATGACTTATCATTGAATTAAAACTTAATTGGTGTCACTGTTGGAGAACATGTGATAGCGAGGAGACAGCAACCCGTCTGATTTTGTATGACTTATCATTGAATTAAAACTTAATTGGTGTCATTGTTGGAGAACCTGTGATAGAGAGGAGATATCGACCAGTCTGATTTTGTATGACTTATCATTGGATTTTTACTTGTTTGGTTTCACTGTTGGAGAACCTGTGATAGAGAGAAGACATCGACCAGTCTGATTTTGTATGACTAACCATTGTATTTTTACTTGTTTGGTGTCACTGTTGGAGAACCTGTGATAGAGAGAAGACATCAACCAGTCTGATTTTGTATGACTTATCATTGGATTTTTACTTGTTTGGTTTCAGTGTTGGAGAAACTGCGATAGAGAGAAGACATCGACCAGTCTGATTTTGTATGACTTACCATTGTATTTTTACTTGTTTGGTCTCACTGTTGGAGAACCTGTGATAGAGAGAAGACATCAACCAGTCTGATTTTGTATGACTTATCATTGGATTTTTACTGGTTTGGTTTCAGTGTTGGAGAAACTGTGATAGAGAGAAGACATCGACCAGTCTGATTTTGTATGACTTACCATTGTATTTTTACTTGTTTGGTTTCACTGTTGGAGAAACTGTGATAGAGAGAAGACATCGACCAGTCTGATTTTGTATGACTTATCATTAGATTATAACTTGCTTGATGTTACTATTACAGGGCCGTAACTATGCTTCGTGAACAGGCGAGGCAGGGGTTTGGGGGCCGCCGTTTGAGGTCCCTGAGTAATGGGGGACTAGGGGACAAAGCCCCCCCTCCCCACCGTCCGAAAATTGTAATATTATGGTTCTAAATACATCTTGTCACCTTCGTTTTTTGTATCATATTTATCGTTTTTGTTTCATATTTATCGTATAAGAACTGTAATAGGCTACATTGGCGGATCAGGCACTTTTTGTAAGTTGTAAGGGGGGGGGGGGGCACTGACTGACCTAAGAGGGGGCCCGCTCCAGTCATGCTTCAGTGATTCCCTATATAATCAACCAAATTTTTCTCACAAAAGGGGGGCCGGCCATCCAAGGCCCCCCCTGGATCCGCCTATGGGCTATCAGATCCGGTTGACAGATACTTACCTCGAATTTTGTACCATCAATATGTACAATTTACAGTAGGGTATATGTTTGATAGTAGAAAATGTGGGACATGTGTGTGTGGTCAACGCTTCATTTAAAATAACACACATTTTCAATAACACTTAAACAAATCACAAAAAGTGGAATTTAGTCACTGTCTGGGAATGCTAGTTTGACCTTTCTTGTGCCACTAAGATCCCATCGTCTGACTACTTTCTTGGAATTGTATAATTAATTTATTTTGCTAATTTTATAAATGCATAACACCCAAATCAGTAATGATACAAATTAAAACTCTCTAGTCAACTTTACCATGGTTAATTATACAACAGTCTTTATTTTGCAAGCCCGAAGTACTCTCACAATACTCCATGAAAACTCAAAGTATCAAGCAATTAAATCGTAAGTCTGCCAAGGTCTTTTCCTGTCCATTTAACATTCGAAAGGAATGATCACATAACCTGCTCTCCATTATATAGCTGAAAGAAAGCCTACTTGCCATTAATCCAAACAAATCCTCCATCCATCCATAATAAATGTTTTGTTTTCGAATAGCAGCCAGGTTTGAAGCAAACTTGACATTTGAAAATGCCTCAAATCTTCATTTTATTTGAAAGAGAACTGCACACAAATTGTGGGGTGCTTTTGGTATTCATGTGTGATCTGTGAATGATTATTGACCTAGCAAGTTGAAGAATTCAAACCATTTTAATTTTGATTTACTTTGCGCAATGATGATATTGGAAATATCTACTATGATCAATAATTAATTTTCGCGGAAAATAAATAATTGCAGAACCAAATGCCGGTTTACTGGCAATGGTAATCAGATACAGAGTTTGATACCTTAAGTTGAAATAAAAGTACAGAAGCTGCACGTCAACATAAATTACTAAGCATTACTTAATTCTTAATGTTATAATGCAAGGATGTGCTCTACCCTCTGCATGCCTAACTTTCTCCATATTTTTTCCCCCTTATTATTTTTTTTGCCAGAAATTCAGACGAGGCAATTGCCTCATCTGCCTCAAGGGTAGTTAAGGGCCTGTTTTAGAGAACCTGTGATAGAGAGGAGACATGACCTGTCTGATATTGTATAACTTATCATTGGATTTTAACTTGCTTGGTGTCACTGTTCCTGAACCTGTGATAGAGAGGAGACATCAATCTGTCTGATTTTGTATGACTTACCATTGGATTTTAACTTGCTTGGTGTCACTGTTCCTGAACCTGTGATAGAGAGGAGACATCAATCTGTCTGATTTTGTATGACTTACCATTGGATTTTAACTTGCTTGGTGTCACTGTTCCTGAACCTGTGATAGAGAGGAGACATCAATCTGTCTGATTTTGTATGACTTACCATTGGATTTTAACTTGCTTGGTGTCACTGTTCCTGAACCTGTGATAGAGAGGAGACATCAATCTGTCTGATTTTGTTTGACTTAACATGTGATAGAGAGGAGACATGACCAATCTGATTTTGTATGACTTATCATTGGACTTTAACTTGCTTGGTGTCACTGTTTGAGAACCTGTGATATGAGAGGACATTGACCAATCTGATTTTGTATGACTTATCATTGGACTTTAACTTGCTTGGTGTCACTGTTTGAGAACCTGTGATAGAGAGGAGGCAGCAACCTGTCAGATATTTTATGACTTATTAGATTGTAACTTGCTTGTTGTCACTATTGGAGAACCTGTGATAGAGAGAAGACATCAACCAGTCTGATTTTGTTTGGCTTATCATTGGATTTTAACTTGCTTGTTGTCACTATTGGATAACCTGTGATAGAGAGGAGACATTGACCAGTCTGATTTTGTTTGGCTTATCACTGAATTTTAACTTTCTTGGTGTCACTATTGGAAAACCTGTGAAAGAGAGGAGACATTGACCTGTCTGATTTTGTTTGATTTATCATTGGATTTTAGCTTGTTTGGTGTCACCTGTGTTCATCTGTAGATTAAGTAGGGTTTGTTTAGCTCAATCTCATCTGTGTAGCAATTTTTTTTGTTAACTTTCCTCATTTTTCTGTGATCATTATGCTGGAGTTAATTCTTTGCCATCCTTTTAACTTTTCGTACTTTAGGTCCCAAATCAATGAGTAATGTTGGTATTTCTCCCACTTAAATACTATAAAATTATCTTTCATTTTTTTTTATCTTTTTTAATACATTTCCTATACTGCAGTCAAATGTCAAATAATTTTATCTTCAGAGTCATTCCAATGCATTTCTTTGAGGTATTTATGCCTTAGTTTAGGTCTTCTCCATGTCGGCTGTACTCCAGATATTTGTTTATACCTGATCATATTTAACACAGGGTATTTCTGTTGAGGTGGAGGTTCAAACGGCTTTAAATCCTTTAGTCTGTCTTTCAGTACTTCTTCATTCAGATCTTTGATATCTCTGTACCTATCTAGGTATCTAAAATTCAAGAAAACAACAACGTCAATATGGTTTACTGTTATTCTTCTTGTCAGTCAATAATGGACATATTATAGTATTATTTTTTTTTAGTCTGGATAGTCAATAATGCACATTCTATGGTTAACTGCTATTGGTCTGTTCAGTCTGCAGATGTTTCATGATAAATGAAGTTTGATTTATTAAAAAGTTATAAAACTTTAAGGATGTTTGTAAATATGTTTCAAAATAATAAGCTTTTTAAAAGACTGTTATAAATTGATAGTATATAAATAACAGAACTTAATAAAATGCTCCGCAGGGCGCAGCTTGATACGACCGCAGAGGTCGAACCCTGAACAGTTGGGGCAAGTATGGACACAACATTCAAGCTTGATACAGCTCTGAATTTGGATTGTGATTAAATATTTGACACAGCATAGGTTTCTGACACAGAATGAATGTGGTCTAAGAACTTAAAAATTTTAAATTGGACATTCACCTATTATGGTCCAATATCCAAAATCTAAATACATGGTTAGATTCAGCATATCAAAGAACCCCAAGAATTAAATTTTTGATGAAATCAAACAAAGTTTAATTTTGGTCCCTTTTGACCTCAATGTGGACAAAGTTGATAACGGGGCCCAAAAATCAAAAATCTAAATACATGGTTAGATTCACCATATCAAAGAACCCCATATATTCAATTTTTGTTGAAATCAAACAAAGTTTAATTTTGGACCCCGATTTTGGACCAACTTGAAAACTGGGCCCATAATCAAAAATCTAAATACATGTTTAGATTCAGCATATCAAAGAACCCTAAAAATTCAATTTTTGTTAAAATCAAACTAAGTTTAATTTTGGACCCTTTGGACCTTAATGTAGACCAATTTGAAAACGGAACCAAAAATTAAGAATCTAAATACACGGTTAGATTCGGCATATCAAAGAACCCCAATAATTCAATTTTTTGATGAAATCAAACAAAGTTAAATTTTGGACCCTTTGGACCTCAATGTGGACCAATTTAAAAACGGGGCCCAAAATCCAAAAACTAAATACACGGTTAGATTCAGCATATTTAAGAACCCCAAGAATTCAAGAATAAAACCCCATTGAAATTGATCAAGAAATAAGCAATTTATACGAAGTATCTTCTTTTGCACAATACTGTGCAATTGAATATTTCTTGCTATTGTGCAATACTGTACAATTGACAATTTCTTGCTATTGCGCAATATTGTGCTATTGGATATTTCTTGCTATTGGGCAATACTGTGCAATTGAAGATTTCTTGCTATTGCGCAATACTGTGCAATTGAAGATTTCTTGCTATTGTGCAATACTGTGCAATTGAAAATTTCTTGCTATTGCACAATACTTATTATATAATAATTTACACATCCTGTTTGGTGTTTATCTCCTACCATATCATTATTATTTGCTTTTAAATATTAATCAGAAATAACCAACTTAAAATTGAAAATTTTAAAAGAAAAAAAAAAGGAAAAAAATTTTAAAAAAATCAAAAAAAAAATCCCCCCCCCCCCAAATTTTTTGAACCCCCTTATGATTCATCACCCAGAAACTCAATCCCAGCCTTCCCTTTGTGGTATGGTACCTTGCAGTACAATTTCAGGGAGATCCATACTCTTGAACACAAGTTATTGTCTGGAAACTAGAAAAATGCTTATTTTTGGCCCCTTTTTGGCCCCCAATTCCTAAACGTTTCGGGCAATTACCCCCAAACTCAATTCCAGCTTTCCCTTTGTGATATGGAACCTTGTAGTACAATTTAAGAAATATCCAAACACTTACACACAAGTTATTGTCATGAAACTAGAAAAATGCTTGTTTTTTGCCCCTTTTTTGGCCCCTAATTCCTAAAATTTTGAGGCAATTACCCCCAAAATCAATTACAGCCTTCCCTTTGTGATATGGAACCTTGTGGTACAATGTCAGAGAGATCCATACACTTACACACAAGTTATTGTCTGGAAGTTACAAAAATGCTTATTTTTGGCCCCTAATTCCTTAACTGTTGGTACCATAACCCCCAAAATCAATCCCAACCTTCCTTTCGTGGTATTGAACCTTATGGTAAAATTTCATGGAGATCCATTCACTTAAACTAAAGTTAGAGTGCGAAAACCAATGTGTCTTCGGACGACGCCGGACGACGACGACATACCAATATACGACCAAAAAATTTTTTAATTTTTGCGGTCGTATAAAAAGCAGAATCAAAGTGCTTGTAAGCACTGAAGGGTAAAGATTGCTTTAATTTATCAGTGGGAAGTAAAATTAAATATTGAATTGTATAAAGCATTGATAATTCTGGACAAAGAAAGATAACTCCAATTTTTAAAGATGACTTTAACAATGACATCATTGATATTTTTAGAACAGATAATATATTCCTTGACCTTGCAAAAGATATGTAATTTTCTTGACAAGTATAAAATCATTTTGGGACTTGAATATTTGAGCATATATTTCATTGATAAATTTCTGGATAGGATGCATAGAATGTTATGATCAATGCACTATATTTTGTGTATCTCAAAGGTGATAAACCTTGGAAGATTTAGATATCAAGTCAGAACCATAGGGTTTTGATTGCATTTCATGCAATCTTTACCCAAAAAAATGAAACAAACATGTCCTTGTTTTTGAGATATACTTAATTAAAAATTTGGCAGGAAATGATTATTTCTATATTTTTCATACATTTAACATTGATCCCTTTTTTCTTTCAAAAACTATGAAAAAATAACAAGGATTTTATAAGATTTTCAAAAACTGTTTTTCTAATTTATGTGTAATTTAAAAATTATGATAAGAAAAGTAGGGTTTTAGGAGGCAGATCTTTTATAAGCACAACATGGATAAGACAAGAGGATTCCGAGTATCTGAAAAAAAGAGAGAAGCGAACTTCTGCTCTTTGGTCTGTTTGTTGTCTCTTTGACACATTGCCTGTTTCCATTCTCAATTTTATTCCTTAAGACAATGTTTGATCCTTTTAAGATTATTTCCCTTTTCAATTGTGGTATTTAAAGATTTGTTGATTTTAAGAGGCTTGTTTGGATCTTAAGAGTCATATTGCTCCGTCTATTTTTCGAAATTATAAAAATCGTGATTATGGTGGCAATAAAATCATTTGCAAGAAGTTTCTTGCCACCAAAGACAAGCATTGTGTAAACCCGTCTGATTGAAAAAGTTTCATTTCCAAATAACTCTGGCATTAACATAATAATCCTCGCTCACTGCTGAACTAAAGCTAATAGGAGGTTGGACCAGTATGCCAGGCTGCAGAATTCCTATCCTGATGTTGTGCTAAATATAGATATTTCTTAATACCAATTTTCTGTATTGTAAAATATGTCCCCCCCAAAAAAAGTGAAATATCAAATCATAGGGATTTAAAATAAACTGTTAACACACAGATATGTCTCACCTATTTGTTATTTTGATAATGCAAATGTTGAAATTAAAATAGCAATACTTTAACATGTAAGTTATGCAAATATTCAAAGTCAATAAACCATGACTGAAGGTACAGGGCTAAACAATCTCCATGGAAATGAGATGTGCCAATGCTAACACAACTGCAAACCAAATACCATTGACTTTTCATAAGTCGTTCCCTTTAAACAAACCTAAACACAAACATTAACTTGTAAACTATGTAAAATTTCAAAGTCAATGAACCATACTTAGGGGGTGGGGTTATATAATCTCCATGAAAATGAAACTTGCAAATGCCAATACATTTGCATACCAAATATCATTGACTTAACATTAGTGGTTCATATCAAACTGACCTAATCACAAACTAATACATGTAAACAAAGCAAAAGTGGGTAAGGACCAAATATTCTCCATGGAAATGAGATATGCCAATGCTTATACAACTGCATACCAAATATCATTGACCTACCACTAGTGGTTCCCCATAAATTGACCTAATCACAAACTAATACATGTAAACTATAAAAAGTTTCAAAGTCAATAGACTTTGACTGAGGGAGCGGGGCCAAATAATCTCCATGGTAATGAGATGTGCCAATGCTAATACAACTGCATACCAAATATCATTGACCTACCACTAGTGGTTCACCATGAACTAGACCTAATCACAAACTAATACATTGTTGACGGCGACTGCGGTACCGGAAACAGCATACCTATGTCTCGCTTTTTGACTCTGTCAAGGTGAGACAAAAATGGTAAAATTTGTCTTTTAAGGGCAATAACTCCTATAAGAAGTCTCTTGACAGTTTTGACTTATATGAACAATTAGTAGAGCTCAACATTCTGAACATTTTTGCCCTTGTCAGATTTTCACTATATATAATTGTTTTCAAAATATTAGACAAAACTTGCAATTTACCACTATGATCTATTTTTAGCCATGTCAGCCATCTTGGTTGGTAGGCGCGGTCAGCAGACATATTTTTTAAACTAGATACCCCAATGATGATTGTGGCTAAGTTTGGTTAAATTTGGCCCAGTAGTTTCAGAGGAGAAGATTTTTGTAAAAGTTAACGACAACGGACGTCGGCCCCCAAGTGATGAGAAAAGCTCACTTGGCCCTTTGTGCCAGGTGAGCTAAAAAGGCAACCAAAAACAAAAGTTGTTTAGATAATTGTTTTTGTTTGATTTAATATTTTTCTAAATCATATCAATCTGAAGAATATGAGTTTTTCTTAATGTAAAGCACAAAATATTAGACATGAGAGTCTTGGAGAAATAAACATCTTGTTATCAATATAAGTCATAAGATAGCTTGATAGCTTTGTACTGCTCTATGGTTGGGTTGTTGTCTCTTTGACAAATTCCCCATTTCCGTTCTCAATTTTATTGTAACTTAAATGTACATACAAATTAAATGGCTGCCGATGTGGATACCATTTCTGTAGGGGATGGTATGGAGGTGGATGTTTAAATTCAAATCTTGGTTCTTTCATGTCTGAAATAAATATAGATTCAATTATTAGTATCTCCATTATTCAAAGAGAATAATACTCTTGATAAAGGACACTATTGGTGGCACTTACAGCTGATTCACAAACCACTCCTCTTTTGGGGAGATATTTTGTCTTGTTCACCCATTGGTTCCCAAATATGATATCCATCTTCCATCAGTAGAGACACAACTTGGGAACTTTAACAGAATAAAGACAGTTGGGTAGCAGTCAAATTAAAATCTCAGGAAGACTCAAAGTAAAGGGAGGGGTAGTACAGAATTTTAGTATAATCTTAAACTCTTAGAAGTTCAAGGCATATAAATGTTGAAAATATGCTGCACAACCCTATGGTTTGACCTTTGCAAAAAATAGGAGTGATAAAGAACTTTCCTTTCCAGGATATGATTTTTTTACGAAACTTCATAGCAAAAGTGGCACAATTTTAGCCGTAAAAAGAGTTCCTATGGGAAATTGCATTGTCTATATTTACAGAAGTGCAACCTATAGACCAGAAAGATTGTAGCCATGAATTTCAAAATTTGAAATTTTTACAGGAATTTGTATAAATGATAACATCTCATTAAATAATGAGTTTTATGGACGTAGTGAATGTTTCAACATTAAACAATGAGTATTATGGCCGTAGTGAATGTTTCTACATTAAACAATGAGTTTTATGGACATAGTGAATGTTTCTACATTAAACAATGAGTTTTATGGACGTAGTGAATGTTTCTACATTAAACAATGAGTTTTATGGACGTAGTGAATGTTTCTACATTAAACAATGAGTTTTATGGACATAGTGAATGTTTCTACATTAAACAATGAGTTTTATGGACATAGTGAATGTTTCTACATTAAACAATGAGTTTTATGGCCGTAGTGAATGTTTCAACATTAAACAATGAGTTTTATGGACGTAGTGAATATATTACATAAATAAATGAGTTTTATGGACGTAGTGAATGTTTCTACATTAAACAATGAGTTTTATGGACGTAGTGAATGTTTCTACTTTAAACAATGAGTTTTATGGCCGTAGTGAATGTTTCAACATTAAACAATAAGTTTTATGGACGTAGTGAATGTTTCTACATTAAAGAATGAGTTTTATGGACATAGTGAATGTTTCTACATTAAAGAATGAGTTTTATGGACGTAGTGAATGTTTCTACATTAAAGAATGAGTTTTATGGCCGTAGTGAATGTTTCTACATTAAACAATAAGTTTTATGGACGTAGTGAATGTTTCTACATTAAACAATGAGTTTTATGGACGAAGTGAATGTTTCTACATTAAAGAATGAGTTTTATGGACGTAGTGAATGTTTCTACTTTAAACAATGAGTTTTATGGACATAGTGAATGTTTCTACATTAAACAATGAGTTTTATGGCCGTAGTGAATGTTTCTACATTAAACAATAAGTTTTATGGACGTAGTGAATGTTTCTACATTAAAGAATGAGTTTTATGGACGAAGTGAATGTTTCTACATTAAAGAATGAGTTTTATGGACGTAGTGAATGTTTCTACATTAAAGAATGAGTTTTATGTACATAGTGAATGTTTCTACATTAAACAATGAGTTTTATGGACGTAGTGAATGTTTCAACATTAAACAATGAGTTTTATGGACGAAGTGAATGTTTCTACATTAAAGAATGAGTTTTATGGACGTAGTGAATGTTTCTACTTTAAACAATGAGTTTTATGGACATAGTGAATGTTTCTACATTAAACAATGAGTTTTATGGACGAAGTGAATGTTTCTACATTAAAGAATGAGTTTTATGGACGTAGTGAATGTTTCTACATTAAACAATGAGTTTTATGGACATAGTGAATGTTTCTACATTAAACAATGAGTTTTATGGCCGTAGTGAATGTTTCAACATTAAACAATGAGTTTTATGGACGTAGTGAATATATTACATAAAAGAATGAGTTTTATGGACGTAGTGAATGTTTCTACATTAAACAATGAGTTTTATGGACATAGTGAATGTTTCTACATTAAACAATGAGTTTTATGGACATAGTGAATGTTTCTACATTAAACAATGAGTTTTATGGCCGTAGTGAATGTTTCAACATTAAACAATGAGTTTTATGGACGTAGTGAATATATTACATAAAAGAATGAGTTTTATGGACGTAGTGAATGTTTCTACATTAAACAATAAGTTTTATGGACGTAGTGAATGTTTCTACATTAAAGAATGAGTTTTATGGACGTAGTGAATGTTTCTACATTAAAGAATGAGTTTTATGGACGTAGTGAATGTTTCTACTTTAAACAATGAGTTTTATGGACATAGTGAATGTTTCTACATTAAACAATGAGTTTTATGGACGTAGTGAATGTTTCTACATTAAAGAATGAGTTTTATGGACGTAGTGAATGTTTCTACATTAAACAATGAGTTTTATGGACATAGTGAATGTTTCTACATTAAACAATGAGTTTTATGGACATAGTGAATGTTTATACATTAAACAATGAGTTTTATGGCCGTAGTGAATGTTTCAACATTAAACAATGAGTTTTATGGACGTAGTGAATATATTACATAAAAGAATGAGTTTTATGGACGTAGTGAATGTTTCTACATTAAACAATGAGTTTTATGGACGTAGTGAATGTTTCTACATTATAGAATGAGTTTTATGGCCGTAGTGAATGTTTCTACATTAAACAATAAGTTTTATGGACGTAGTGAATGTTTCTACATTAAAGAATGAGTTTTATGGACGTAGTGAATGTTTCTACATTAAAGAATGAGTTTTATGTACATAGTGAATGTTTCTACATTAAACAATGAGTTTTATGGACGTAGTGAATGTTTCAACATTAAACAATGAGTTTTATGGACGTAGTGAATGTTTCTACATTAAAGAATGAGTTTTATGTACATAGTGAATGTTTCTACATTAAACAATAAGTTTTATGGACGTAGTGAATGTTTCAACATTAAACAATAAGTTTTATGGACGTAGTGAATGTTTCTACATTAAAGAATGAGTTTTATGGACGTAGTGAATGTTTCTACATTAAAGAATCAGTATGGTGTAAATTGATGAACTTTTCCACATTCAATCTCACTGCAATCTTTTAAATTTCTTTGTACAGAATAATCTTGTACAGTTTCCAAATCATGTATCAAAATTTATATAGGACACCTGGAAATTGCAAATTCATTTGACGTGTGATATTGTATTCAGTTGGTAAATCACCCCAAAAAAAAGACGGCATGAAAAATTTCCTCGTTGAAAGCATTGTAATTTACATATTTAAAGGTTTATTTATCCATTTTGTCACAAAAGACAAAAGAGAAAATATTTTGAGATTAAGCAGATACTTCAACAGAAGGCCCATGGTACCAATTAATAACAGGCCTATTGCACAACATCAGAAACAATAGGCAAAACTGCTACAAGAACCAACTGCTGTATCCCACCACTTTTGAATCTCCCCAGTAGATTTCCCTATATATTTTATCTACCTAAAATATTCCAAAAGGTATCTCTAACTGACTCATCCCAATCACTTTGGAACATGTTTACACTGGCTGGAGTCAGGTCATCCTGTAAACTTCGATAAAACTCTAATGTACTAAAGCTTCTGTCTTGTAATGATGTGCTAAAATCAGAAAAAATTTCTAGATGTCTGATGTTATAGCTAAACATAGAAATGCTATGTAATAAATGTTCTGTCTTGTAATAGGGTTCTAAAAATTGAACAGAGCACTCCCTTAAGTACTGATTGTTCTGCCTTATAATAATGTGTCATTTGTTCTCTGGCAATCATACCACATCTCATTATTTCATATTGACAATATGTGAATACTCAATAGAAAAGTATAACTTTAATGTGTTGTCCCCAGTCAGTAGTTAGTGTTTATATCTGATTTTTTATCATCCATTTATCCTTTTCATGGTGCTAATGACAGACTTTCAGTAGTCAAAGTTGAATTCATTCACATTTTATCAAGAATCAGAGTAGTTTTTAGTTCTCTTGTGGATAGTTGTCTTGTTGGCAATCATACCATATCTTATTTTTTTATGTGTCAACATACATTAGTTCAATAAGGTTAAGCATAGAATCCTTTTTCTCTTTGTTAATTTTAAATTTGATATGTGTCTCAATAGAATGTGTGTATTCATTAATTACTTAAAATTAATTAACTTACAAAGTTGATCTGTTACTTTATAGTGACAAGCGAAGGGAGCATTTATTACTTGGCAAAGTTGAACTGTTACTTTATGGTGACAGGAGAAGGGAGCATTTATTACTTGGCAAAGTTGAACTGTAACTTTATGGTAACAGGAGAAGGGAGCATTTATTACTTGGTAAAGTTTAACTGTTATTTTATAGTGGCAGGAGGAGGGAGCATTTATTACTTGGCAAAGTTGAACTGTTACTTTATAGTGGTAGGAGAAGGGAGCATGTATTACTTGGCAAAGTTTAACTGTTACTTTACTGTGACGGGAGGAGGGATCCTTTATTACTTGGTAAAATTGAACTGTTATTTTATGGTGACAAGAGGGGGAGCATTTATTACTTGGCACATTTGAACTGTTACTTTATAGTGGCAGGAGAAGGGAGCATTTATTACTTGGCAAAGTTGAACTGTTACTTTATGGTGACAGGAGAAGAAAGAAATTTATTACTTGGTAAAGTTGAACTATTACTTTAGGGTTACAGGAAGGATTTATTTCTTGGTAAAGTTGAACGATTACTTTAGGGTTACAAGAAAGATTTTTTACTTGGTAAAGTTGAACTATTTCTTATGGGGTGAAGGAAGGATTTATTACTTGGTAAAGTTGAACTATTACTTTAGGGTTACAGGAAGGATTTATTGCTTGGAAAAGTTGAACTGTTTCTTTAGGGTTAATGGAAAGATTTATTACTTGGTTAAGTTGAACTATTACTTTAGGGTTACAGGAAGGAATTTATTGCTTGGTAAAGTTGAAATGTCTCTTTAAGGTTAAAGGAAGAATTTATCACTTCGTAAAGTTGATCTGTTACTTTAGGGTTATAGGAGAAGGGATCCTTTATTACTTTGTAAAGTTGAACTGTTACTTTAGGGTTACAAGAGAAGGGATCTTTTATTACTTGGTAAAGTTGAACTGTTTCTTTAGGGTTAAAGGAAGGATTTATTACTAGGTAAAGTTGAACTATTACTTTAGGGTTACCATAGAAGGGATCCTTTATTACTTGGTAAAGTTGAACTGTTTATTAAGGGTTACAAGAGAAGGGATCCTTTATTATTTGGTAAAGTTGAACTGTTTATTCAGGGTTACAGGAGAAGGGATCCTTTACTACTTGGTAAAGTTGAACTGTTATTTTAGGGTTATAGGAAAAGGGAACATTTATTACTTGGTAAAGTTGGACTGTTACTTTAGGGTTACAGGAGAAGGGATCCTTTACTACTTGGTAAAGTTGGACTGTTACTTTAGGGTTACAGGAGAAGAGAACATTTATTATTTGGGTTGACTATCTAAGGGGAGAAGTCCTGGAATTACCATATTTGTATGCCCCTGTCAACCCTTGGGGTCCTAACAATTAAAATAAAGAAGGTATATGATTGGTTGATATTTAATAAGATAAAAGTAATCAATCTTGATGTGTATTCGTACAAATTGTGATCTTTGACTCTGTTATCTATGACTTGCAGGTTTCTCCAACTTTCAGTAACGAAGGCAACTATCAGCATTCAATGATCAAATCTAATTTTTCATTTTTATGAATAGTCTAACAAGTCCTTAATATGAATCAAATTATCATATCCCTCCTTTTACATTCATCTTTACAAATTAAAACAAGGATTTTATTATTTGCCTTCATTCCTTGTTTGCTGCTGACCTTTAAACAATCTGGATGGCTGATATTGTAATCCTTTCAATCTCAAAAAAGATTCGAGTCTAAAGCTTTGTATAACTTTAATCTGTTTTGTTTCTACATTTTGTTATCCAACAGAAATTCCTACTGATAATGATAATATGATCTGCCATACTCATTTTTTAGGAACTCTCAAAGATTTCTTCATTAATTGGGTATAATTGTCCTCAATTATGGTTGGAAACTCAATAAAATGATAAAAAAAAATATATATATATACTAATGAACTCAAATTGTTACTATTTTTGTTTCCCGCATTTGCGCAAAAATCTCTTTCTTTCTTCCAGTCTCTTTTGTCATGAGACTTGTAAAATATTGGAAGGAGCATCATATCTTTTCCCTTTATTGGTTTTGATAAAATATTGGAAGGAGCATCATATCTTTTCCCTTTATTGGTTTTGATAAAATATTGGAAGGAGCTTCATATCGTTTCCCCTTGTTGGTTTTGATAAAATATTGGAAGGAGCTTCATATTGTTTCCCCTTGTTGGTTTTGATAAAATATTGGAAGGAGCATCATATCGTTTCCCCTTGTTGGTTTTGATAAAATATTGGAAGGAGCTTCAAATCGTTTCCCCTTGTTGGTTTTGATAAAATATTGGAAGGAGCATCATATCGTTTCCCTTTATTGGTTTTGATAAAATATTGGAAGGAGCTTCATATCGTTTCCCCTTGTTGGTTTTGATAAAATATTGGAAGGAGCTTCATATTGTTTCCCCTTGTTGGTTTTGATAAAATATTGGAAGGAGCATCATATCGTTTCCCCTTGTTGGTTTTGATAAAATATTGGAAGGAGCTTCATATCATTTCCCCTTGTTGGTTTTGATAAAATATTGGAAGGAGCATCATATCTTTTCCCTTTATTGGTTTTGATAAAATATTGGAAGGAGCTTCATATCGTTTCCCCTTGTTGGTTTTGATAAAATATTGGAAGGAGCTTCATATTGTTTCCCCTTGTTGGTTTTGATAAAATATTGGAAGGAGCTTCATATCATTTCCCCTTGTTGGTTTTGATAAAATATTGGAAGGAGCATCATATCTTTTCCCTTTATTGGTTTTGATAAAATATTGGAAGGAGCTTCATATCGTTTCCCCTTGTTGGTTTTGATAAAATATTGGAAGGAGCTTCATATTGTTTCCCCTTGTTGGTTTTGATAAAATATTGGAAGGAGCATCTAACGTTTCCCCTTGTTGGTTTTAATAAAATATTGGAAAGAGCATCATATCGTTTCCCCTTGTTGGTTTTGATAAAATATTGGAAGGAGCATCATATCGTTTCCCCTTGTTGGTTTTGATAAAATATTGGAAGGTGCATCATATCGTTTCCCTTGTTGGTTTTGAAAAAATATTGGAAGGAGCTTCATATTGTTTCCCCTTGTTGGTTTTGATAAAATATTGGAAGGAGCATCTAACGTTTCCCCTTGTTGGTTTTGATGAAATATTGGAAAGAGCATCATATCGTTTCCCCTTGTTGGTTTTGATAAAATATTGGAAGGAGCATCATATCGTTTCCCCTTGTTGGTTTTGATAAAATATTGGAAGGAGCATCTAACGTTTCCCCTTGTTGGTTTTGATAAAATATTGGAAGGTGCATCATATCGTTTCCCTTGTTGGTTTTGATAAAATATTGGAAGGAGCTTCATATCGTTTCCCTTGCTGGTTTTGATAAAATATTGGAAGGAGCATCATATCGTTTCCTCTTGTTGGTTTTGATAAAATATTGAAAGGAGCATCATATCGTTTCCCTTGTTGGTTTTGATAAAATATTGGAAGGAGCATCATATCGTTTCCCCTTGTTGGTTTTGATAAAATATTGGAAGGAGCATCATATCGTTTCTCTTGTTGGTTTCGATAAAATATTGGAAGGAGCATCATATCGTTTCCCCTTGTTGGTTTTGATAAAATATTGGAAGGTGCATCATATCGTTTCCCTTGTTGGTTTTGATAAAATATTGGAAGGAGCATCATATCGTTTCCCCTTGTTGGTTTTGATGATAAAAGTAACCCGATGATAGTGTTTCTTTGATTACATTGAAATGACGTCTCAACTAAAATACCTAACAACAGGACCAACGTCTGAAATGTTTCTGTATTTCCGTTTCTTTTTTAACAGATTCTGAAGTTAAAATATGCTTGAATTAAAAATAATAATGTATACAGACTTCGTCCCTTTTCACAGGTAACGCCTGCCTCATATTAGTTGAAAAGAATGCTGTAAACTTCAGCTACTTGTTCTTACTGGATATAATTGTCTTATACAAAACTACCCCATCTCTTTTTATTCTCATAAAATGTGCTTCGGCAGAACAAAGCATCATTAAATCTAATAAATAATGTCATAATTTACCAATTCTCTGGTCTTTTGTCTTTACTAAAATCTATCTTTCTGTTTTGTTTATACAACACAAAAACATATCTATGGTAACCAGTGCCACGAACAGGAAATGGTGGTAAATAATTACAGAGCTCTTCCCCTTTATCTAAATCATTCCCTGGTATATTGCCTCTGAAATGAAACATGTCATATATTATTCATATTAGTGGGAATAATACATTTACATTACTCTTATTGCTAGTTGTGGCTAGTTGTGGGAATCAGTCAAGATATGTCAGATTGATGGTTGCTAAACAGACATCAACCAACTATCAATGATTGCTAAATAGCATCAACCAACAATCAATGATTACAAAATGGACATCAACCAACAATCAATGATTGCTAAATGGACATCAACTGACAATCAATGATTGCTAAATGGACATCAACCAACAATCAATGATTGCTTAATGGACATTAACTGACAATCAATGATTATTAAATGGACATCAACCGACAATCCATAATTGCTAAATGGACATCAATTGATAATCAACGATTGCTTAATGGACATCAACTGACAATGAATGTTTGCCAAATGGACATCAACCGATAATCATTGATTGCTTATATATAATTAATGGACATCAACTGACAATCATTGATTGCTTAATGGACATCAATTGATAATCAATGACTGCTTAATGGACATCAATTGATATTCAATGATTGCTAAATGGACATCAATTGATATTCAATGATTGCTAAATTGACATCAACCAACAATCAATGATTGCTAAATACACATCAATGGATAATCAATGATTGTTAAATAGACATTAAATGATAATCAATGATTGCTGATTGGACATCAGCCAATGATAGGTACAAAGTCTTATATTCTCTCTGGTATTATAAAATCTGGTCAAGCCAAATTGATGAATCTGCTTAAAAATACAAGATCTGTGCAAATGAGTCATTCTCGTCAAATTCTATAATTGAAATTACAGCGCAATTGTATTTTGGGAATGATTTTGAGGGAATGGTAAATGCAGAAAGTTTCAATGATGTTTTAAATGATGTTGACAGTTCATTATGTTGATGAGAATTATTTTCCATTCAACTGAAATAAAACAATACTTTTTCTTGTTTCAAGGTGTTTGTTGGCAATCAGTTATATAATCATAATAACTGTTAGTGCCTGTTTGTTTTCTTACAAGCTTTTAGTTTATCAAAATGGAACAGTGCTCCCCTACCTTTTTAGCTTCCTGATTATAGTTATTTCAGAAACATGTGTCATGTGAACTTTTAAATCATGGAATTTTAACTTTTAAGGCAAGTTTGGGTTGCAAATCTATTGATTAAAATAAATATTACAGTACTTGAAATTTTCAATATCAAATTGCTACTTTTAACAGCTTGCAATAACATCTCTAACAGAATTTTAGGTTAAATAAATCGAATAAAAGAAAAAATTGTTGATATAGGACACCATACCACGCTTGCACATTTCTATGTTCAGTAAACCAAGACTCAAAACTAATTTTGCACAAAAATTCTTCTAAAGAGCCACAAAAAATAAAAGATGTAATTAATATTGTGAACATGGTGAAGGTCAATAATAATGAACAGTAAATAAAATATAAACAATACTCAGAATGACCACTCAGTAATAGGCACTATGTTTCATGATTGTTTGAAAATTTCAGTATATTTTTATTCAACAAAGTTGAAAAACTGAAGAGAAATGTTCATCTTTGTGGTAGTAATAAGCAAATCATTTTGTATCAAAGTAAAAGATAACATAGACAAGTAAACAAAATACTCCATCAATCGACAAATTTCAAGTTCATGCACATTCCTGTAGATTTCCTGTCAAAATACTTATTACATCACAGTAAGAACTGATTGTTCGATGATGTCGTTTACACAAATTAACTTTGTGACTATTGACGTGTTTTACACCAATTTACTTTGGTTCATTCATAAAAAAACAACCTGAGATTGGTGTGTATGAACCAAAAGATAAAAATGTGAACGAGAAAGTGTGGGAAATTTCCTTTTGTGATCTCTTAGAAAACATGTAGTGAATCAAATAGCCCTTTGGCAAAATGTAATAGTGCTGATAATCACAGGATTGAAACCCTGCCATGGAGACTACTGAATACCATTTTGTAATGAAATAGTTCCTGAATGATCATGATGATAGGAATAGTATAATCATACTTAAAAACTGTAACATTAGAATACATTTATCTGCCTTACATGAGCCAGTGTAAATATAACATTGAAATACATGTATTGGCCTTACATGAGAAAGTGTAAATATAACATTGAAATACATGTATTGGCCTTACATGAGCCAGTGTAAATATAACATTGGAATACGTTTATCTGCCTTACATGAGCCAGTGTGAATATAACATTGAAATACATGTATTGGCCTTACATGAGAAAGTGTAAATATAACATTGAAACACATGTATTGGCCTTACATGAGCCAGTGTAAATATAACATTGGAATACGTTTATCTGCCCTACATGAGCCAGTGTAAATATAACATTGATATACATGTATTGGCCTTACATGAGAAAGTGTAAATATAACATTGAAATACATGTATTGGCCTTACATGAGCCAGTGTAAATATAACATTGGAATACCTTTCTGCCTTACATGAGCCAGTGTAAATATAACATTGAAATACATGTATTGGCCTTACATGAGCCAGTGTAAAAATAACATTGGAATACATGAATCTGCCTTACATGAGCCAGTGTAAATATAACATTGGAATACATGTATCTGCCTTACATGAGCCAGTGTAAATATAACATTGGAATACATGTATTGGCCTTACATGAGCCAGTGTAAATATAACACTGGAATACATTTATCTGCCTTACATGAGCCAGTGTTAATATAACATTGGAATACATTTATCTGCCTTACATGAGCCAGTGTAAATATAATATTGGAATACATTTATCTGCCTTACATGAGCCAGTGTAAATATAACATTGGAATACAGTTATCTGCCTTACATGAGCCAGTGTAAATATTACATTGGAATACATGTATCTGCCTTACATGAGCCAGTGTAAATATAACATTGGAATAGTGTTATCTGCCTTACATGAGCCAGTGTAAATATTACATTGGAATACATGTATCTGCCTTACATGAGCCAGTGTAAATATAACATTGGAATACATGTATCTGCCTTACATGAGCCAGTGTAAATATAACATTGGAATACATGTATCTGCCTTACATGAGCCAGTGTAAATATAACATTGGAATACATGTATTGGCCTTACATGAGCCAGTGTAAAAATAACATTGGAATACATGTATCTGCCTTACATGAGCCAGTGTAAATATAACATTGGAATACATTTATCTGCCTTACATGAGCCAGTGTAAATATAACATTGGAATACATGTATCTGCCTTACATGAGCCAGTGTAAATATAACACTGGAATACATTTATCTGCCTTACATGAGCCAGTGTAAATATAACATTGGAATACATTTATCTGCCTTACATGAACCAGTGTAAATATAACATTGGAATACAGTTATCTGCCTTACATGAGCCAGTGTAAATATAACATTGGAATACATGTATTGGCCTTACATGAGCCAGTGTAAATATTACATTGGAATACATGTATCTGCCTTACATGAGCCAGTGTAAATATAACATTGGAATACATGTATCTGCCTTACATAAGCCAGTGTAAATATAACATTGAAATACATGTATTGGCCTTACATGAGAAAGTGTAAATATAACATTGAAATACATGTATTGGCCTTACATGAGCCAGTGTAAATATAACATTGGAATACGTTTATCTGCCTTACATGAGCCAGTGTAAATATAACATTGATATACATGTATTGGCCTTACATGAGAAAGTGTAAATATAACATTGAAATACATGTATCTGCCTTACATGAGCCAGTGTAAATATAACATTGGAATACGTTTATCTGCCTTACATGAGCCAATGTAAATATAACATTGGAATACATGTATCTGCCTTACATGAGCCAGTGTAAATATAACATTGGAATACATGTATCTGCCTTACATGAGCCAGTGCAAATATAACACTGGAATACATTTATCTGCCTTACATGAGCCAGTGTAAATATAACATTGGAATACATTTATCTGCCTTACATGAGCCAGTGTAAATATAACATTGGAATAGTGTTATCTGCCTTACATGAGCCAGTGTAAATATTACATTGGAATACATGTATCTGCCTTACATGAGCCAGTGTAAATATAACATTGGAATACATGTATCTGCCTTACATGAGCCAGTGTAAATATAACATTGGAATACATGTATCTGCCTTACATGAGCCAGTGTAAATATAACATTGGAATACATGTATTGGCCTTACATGAGCCAGTGTAAATATAACATTGGAATACATGTATCTGCCTTACATGAGCCAGTGTAAATATAACATTGGAATACATTTATCTGCCTTACATGAGCCAGTGTAAATATAACATTGGAATACATGTATCTGCCTTACATGAGCCAGTGTAAATATAACACTGGAATACATTTATCTGCCTTACATGAGCCAGTGTAAATATAACATTGGAATACATTTATCTGCCTTACATGAACCAGTGTAAATATAACATTGGAATACAGTTATCTGCCTTACATGAGCCAGTGTAAATATAACATTGGAATACATGTATTGGCCTTACATGAGACAGTGTAAATATAACATTGGAATACACTTATCTGTCTTACATGAGCCAGTGTAAATATTACATTGGAATACTTTTATCTGCCTTACATGAGACAGTGTAAATATAACATTGGAATACACTTATCTGTCTTACATGAGCCAGTGTAAATATTACATTGGAATACTTTTATCTGCCTTACATGAGACAGTGTAAATATAACATTGGAATACACTTATCTGTCTTACATGAGCCAGTGTAAATATAACATTGGAATACATTTATCTGCCTTACATGAGCCAGTGTAAATATAACATTGGAATACACTTATCTGTCTTACATGAGCCAGTGTAAATATAACATTGGAATACATGTATTGGCCTTACATGAGCCAGTGTAAATATAACATTGGAATACACTTATCTGTCTTACATGAGCCAGTGTAAATATAACATTGGAATACATTTATCTGCCTTACATGAGCCAGTGTAAATATAACATTGGAATACATTTATCTGCCTTACATGAGCCAGTGTAAATACTCCATGTTGTTATCCTGTAGATGACTGTCCGGAGCTGTCATAGCAATAGTCCACCAGGTGTCAGGGTCAGCTGTATATTCAACGTAAGGTTTTGATATAACCTGTTATTTTAAGAAATTATATTCAACTAAGTAATTGGTATAAATATTGATTTTGTTATCAGTAAATTTAAACCATACTAAATATTATTGTTATACACATATGCACTTTCATGGTACTACAATCTGCTGATACCTATATTTTGGCATTGCACAAGGTCATGTTTTTCTCTGACTGTTAATGACGTCTTTACACTTAATCCATTGGATGTTGGATGTTTACTGATTGATATTTAAGTCTTAGATACATGATATTTTTATTAGTTGTTATTGGCTTTGAACTAGCTGTCAGTAACTGCGAGTGCTCTCAGATCTTTACTTAGTGTCTTTTTTATTGTGGGATGTGAAGATTCTCAAGATCTACCACATCCTGTCTGTGTTTTTGTTAGATGTTCCTTCTTTGTACATGTTGTATGGTTTTTTTCAACTGATTTTTATAGTTTGTTCTTATGTTGCACTGTTACACCACAGGCCAAGGTTTGGGGAGGGTTTGGCACCAGCAAACTAGTTTGACCCTGCCACGTTCTGTGTGTGCCTATCCAGGGTTGGGAGCCTGTGGTTCAGTGGTTGTCGTTGGTTCATGTCTGTCATGTTTGTATTTCGCAAATTGTTTTGTTATAAATTAGGCCATTGGTTTTCTCTATTAAATAGTTTCATATTTTTCAAGTCAGAGCCTTTTATAAGCAACTATATGGTATGGGTTTTTCTCATTGTTGAATGCTGTATGGTTGCCTATAATTGCTTACATCCACTTCATTTGAACTTTGGTGGATAGTTTTCTCATTGGCAATCATACCACATCTCCTTATTTTTTATATTGTAACAACATACATTGTGTATGTCAGCCATTTCAAATTTTTATCGTTTAATGATCTGGACTGAGTATGTCCCAGGTGATACTGTATTGTGGGGGCCAAAAAGATAGACACTGACACTGATTATTTAAGAGGGGATTTACTTTAGGGACTGAGCCTGGACTCTTAATCCCTAAAAGGAATTGCTGTTTCTCTAGGACTGATGATATTCCACCTCCATAAATAAAATTCATATGCTCTGTACTAGAAAGTATAAAAAGTAAAGTCCGCATCCACCTTTTCGCCACGAAAAATTTAGAAATTTTTTTTGTGACTGGTTAATGTCTAATGAAACTCCGGTAATATTTAAATCGTGTGTAATCCTTTGCAGTATTTTAATGGAAAACTCTGTTTTTAATCATCAAGTAGAAGTTGAAAATGCTTGTAAATGATTATCATGATTAGAGAAGACATCAGAGTGTTTAAATAAGTCACAATCACAAAAAACATTTGGGAAAGTTGTGTTCGAGACATTAAGCAGAAGTACGAATAGCATATGGAAATCGAAAATAAATACAGTGCAAGTGTGCAGTAAATCCATACTTAATAGATATCACTAGAATATGACTTTGACAGTTTAGTCCTTTAGTAAAATACTGGTACATATATCCATCACATTAATGTTTGAAGGATTTTAGCTAAAACAAAACACATGTGTCAGGATGAAACACCAAAAATGGAACTAATAACTGATTAGGTTTTGTAGTTTATACATCTTTAAGCAAAAGCTGGTTCCTGGTTTACTTATATACTTTTTTCATTCCTTTAAATACAAGCGGAGACCAGTTTATATTATGCAATGCTATGAAAAGAATCGAGAAATTTGATATGAAGCATTTACTTTTGAAATCATTTATCATTTAATACTGGATTTTGAATTAAAATTGCATATTAATATGGAAAAGTTTTGAAAAATGTCTTTTTTTCATAATATGATGCAGTCGCTATTTTACAAACTTGTTACAGATCATGTCTACAAATCAGAGTCAAGATGAGGCATGGAAGTTATAAAATTGCAAAGGATACGGAAAAATTCCTGAAAACAATCTATGTTTAGACTTGACCATCCAGCGGTTTGGGATTTCAGAAGATTGAAAAGAAAGAGTGCAGAAACAGCTAGTTCAGCATTTTTCCATTTATAAAGAGACTTAACTCAAAGACGGTGAAAGTGTCGCCACCTAAATTCGAATTTTATCTGTGTTTGGTGGTAATAAGTATTGTGTATAAGTTTCATAACATTTGGTACAGGCAAAGTAAAGTTAGAGTGTGGAAACTGCAAATTCAGCAATTTTTCCAATCATAAGGTAACATTACTCTAGAATGGTAAAAGTGATGCCATCCAAATTCGAACTGTTTTTGGTGGTTTCATGATATGATATTTGGTTGAGGCAAACTAAAGTTAGGAGAACTAAGTTTCATAACATTTGGTTGAGATAAACTAAAGTTAGAAAAAACAATTTTGGAACATAAGGATGTACGGAAAGACAATGGTAAAACTTGATGCCCCTGTTGCCTAGCAGCTGGGGGCAAACAGATTTTTGTCCAAGTTTCATAATATTTTGTAAAGGTTAGACAAAGTTATTGATGTCTAAAAAAACTTTAACAACAGACTGAACATGCTGAACCTAAATGTTGTTTAACAACGCCAGAATGAAGGATCACTAAGTCTTACTTGAGCCAGAATGAAGGATCACTAAGTCTTACTTGAGCCAGAATGAAGGATCACTAAGTCTTACTTGAGCCAGAATGAAGGATCACTAACAGGCCATTCATTAGGAAGCGGTACCCGGTTGTTTACCCTCCTATGCTACAGATAAGTACCGCCTGAATTCAGAAATTTTTATATAAGATGTTCATTGAATATATAGAAAAGTACCACCTTCAAATAGGAATGTACCGGTCAACATGAAAGATAATGAAACCCCTGCTGACTAAGTCTTGCTTGAGCCAGAATGAAGGATCACTAAGTCTTACTTGAGCCAGAATGAAGGATCACTAAGTCTTACTTGAGCCAGAATGAAGGATCACTAAGTCTTGCTTGATCAACAAAGATGAGGAAGTAAACTTGTATGAAGATCTAGACTTACCTCAGATGGTTTTAATCTGTTTCCAATGTAAACTTTAGATACATATTCCTCATCAAAATCATAATATATGTCCATATTGACACACTGATAAAACATGGCATTGTCAAATAAGTCTCTATATATCCCATAATGTTCTGCTAATGATTTCCAGTGAAATCTTTGCATTTCATGTGTGTAGATTTTCTTTACTTCTTCTAATGGGACATTTACTGAATAAAAAATAATAGTATTTTTACTTCTACCTTATTAATCTTATAAAGTTAACCTATAATATCCAACCAACATTTAATTATTTGTTGAAGGGAGTTCTAATAAAGTTGACCTGTAATATCTAACCAACATTTAATTATTTGTTGAAGGGAGTAGAAAACTAACAAGAATTTATTTGTTATGATTTTTTTTTAAAGGGGCATTAGCCGTTAAATTCATGTTCACCGATTTGACTCAAATTCTCATATTTGATTTATAACATACTAAAACGTATATCTAAATTATAAAAAGTCTAAAATAAACAATTTACAATGCATGGGCTGGATAATATGTATCAGCATTTAGTGTGTATTTTAGTCTAGACACCATCTAATTAACCATCGAGGTGAACTCCGAAAACTGCCGACGGTCATATAACCTGATATAAACGTAAATATAGATATAAATATAGACAGCGAACTCGTGCAATTGGATTTTTCTAGGTTTGTATGATTTCATATTATAGATTAAAAATATATGTTAATCATCATTTTTACCTGTATAAGAATGAGTTTTTGTGGATCAAATCAGTCAATCAAATGGTTTATCCTTGTTTCACTTTCAATGTTGACATTCTTTTCTTTTTAATAACTGAACATGCCTAATTCATGCGTAAACCATCTCTAGCTAAGGGGTTAAACTGAAGGTCACATGAATATGATTTCAATGAGGTTGAATTTTTCACTTGCAAGTGAATAATTCATCAGCCATGTTTCTTATCTTAATTTGACAAAATTAAACTAAATGGCTGCTAAAAGCGAATTATTATTTCCCTATTTCACTTTCATTAATGATTGAACATTTTTTATATATCTCGTAGCTAATACCCCTTTTAACTAGGATTCTCTCTTTAATGAAATCATCTACAATGTTAGAAAATCTAAAAAATAAATACAACCTTTGCAACTCTGTTTGAAAACCTAAACTTAACTCTAACTTATGTGTTAGCTCTTTCTAACTCTAACTAACATGTTCTTGTTCTAGCAGCTCTTTCTAACTCTAACCTACATGTTCTTGTTCTAGCAGCACTTTCTAACTCTAACTAACATGTTCTTGTTCTAGCAGCACTTTCTAACTCTAACTAACATGTTCTTGTTCTAGCAGCTCTTTCTAACTCTAACTAACATGTTGTTGTTCTAGCAGCCCTTTCTAACTCTAACTAACATGTTGTTGTTCTAGCAGCCCTTTCTAACTCTAACTTACATGTTCTTGTTCTAGCAGCTCTTTCTAACTCTAACTAACATGTTCTTGTTCTAGCAGCTCTTTCTAACTCTAACTAACATGTTCTTGTTCTAGCAGCTCTTTCTAACTCTAACTTACTTGTTCTTGTTCTAGCAGCTCTTTCTAACACTAACTTACATGTTCTTGTTCTAGCAGCTCTTTCTAACTTTAACTAAGATGTTCTTGTTCTAGCAGCTCTTTCTAACTCTAACTTACATGTTCTTGTTCTAGCAGCTCTTTCTAACTCTAACTAACATCTTCTTGTTCTAGCAGCTCTTTCTAACTTTAACTTACATGTTCTTGTTCTAGCAGCTCTTTCTAACTCTAACTAACATGTTCTTGTTCTAGCAGCTCTTTCTAACTCTAACATGTTCTTGTTCTAGCAGCTCTTTCTAACTCTAACTTACATGTTTTTGTTCTAGCAGCTCTTTCTAACTCTAACTTACATGTTCTTGTTCTAGCAGCTCTTTCTAACTCTAACTTACATGTTCTTGTTCTAGCAGCTCTTTCTAATTCTATTTCTTTTCCTGCTATGGATTCTTTCAATTCATGTTTCATCTTTTTTCTTTCTGTTCTGTCAAATTTGGTGGCTGGAAATCCAATATTAATCACTTTGTCTAACTCTGGGTCAATCTGTTTCATTTCTACAACAGAATACAAACAATTAACATCTTGGTTAAATTCATATAAATCTGAACAAATCATACCTGATACATATTTTGATACATTATATTGTCTCACATGATACATATTTGGCTACACTTTATTGTCATACCTGATTCATATTTGGATACATTTTATTGTCATACCTGGTACATATTTGGATACATTTTATTGTCATACCTGGTACATATTTGGATACACTTTATTGTCATACCTGATACATATTTGGATACACTTTATTGTCATACCTGATACATATTTGGATACATTTTATTGTCATACCTGGTACATATTTGGATACACTTTATTGTCATACCTGATACATATTTGGATACATTTTATTGTCATACCTGGTACATATTTGGATACACTTTATTGTCAGACCTGGTACATATTTGGATACATTTTATTGTCATACCTCATACAAATTTGGATACACTTTTCTATCTCACATGCATAATGACCATGATGGTTTAACCCTTAAACAAAGGTAACAAATAATTTGTAAACAGCATATCAATTAAGTATCAAGTAATGTTTGCACATTATGTACATGTAAAAGTCACATGCATAACTTAAGATTGGCTTTGAAGACAAATGTAAGACCTTCAACAGATGACAATTTTGTGAGGGTTAGACACGATGATGATTATATTCTAGGTAGATCTACCTTGTACAAAACATATCACAAAGTCCTACATCATGATGATTATATTCTAGGTAGATCTACCTTGTACAAAACATATCACAAAGTCCTACATCATGATGATTATATTCTAGGTAGATCTACCTTGTACAAAACATATCACAAAGTCCTACATCATGATGATTATATTCTAGGTAGATCTACCTTGTACAGATCACAAAGTTCTACAAAATAATTCTGTCAGATGTTTATAATTATATCTTTAATTTGTCTTATGTATTTGCCTTAGGGCTACACAATGCTTGCAGTTCATACTAAACTGTACAATCTGCCAAAAAAAAGCCTCAATTTACGATCTTGACAGGCTTTACTCAAAAAATATATTTGGCTACAAGATAACTTATACAAAGATGTTTTATTCGGGTAAAATATCTTTTTTGGGGTAAGGCCTGGGCTCATAATAAATTTTACCAAAATAATTTGTGTAAAATGGTTGTTTTAGTTCAATTTCAACATATTTATGACATTAAACTGATTTCTCTGAACTGACTTGTCCAGAATATATTACACTCTTCATTTAGTATTAGAACTTACATAATTTTGAAACAATAGACATGGTGGTAAGAGAAATTTTACTTTTTTTGGCAATTTCTGGGAAAGGGTTAGGGTAAGGGTTTTGGGTAACCCTAACTGGCAATTTCAGAGCCAAATAATGGCTTCTATCGTACCTCCTCATTCATTTCATTAGACCAAGTTCTTCTTTTCAAGCTAAGTGATTTTTTAATTCAATATGGAATCTACATGTACATGTATAAAGTGGTGTTTCATAAGTTCTTTATCAAGTTTATGAACTTTTTACATAAACTGATTCATAACAATAAATAACTCTGCAATAAGAGGGCACAGTAAGCACTCATTGGAATACCAATCACTAGAAATATACTTAATCTCCAAACAAACCTGAATATTTAATAATAACCAAACTAATGGCTTTAATCCTATTTTTGCATGTCTACTTACCAATGCTTACATGACTTAATATATTTTGGAAGTGTGATCATTAAACTACGATTTACATGATTAATGTCATACGTTTAACTTGGGCCCCGCTAAAGATCAATAGAACAGATCCAAGCAGTCTGGCATCTGTCATAACTTTGGACACTACAGAGAGCAGAAAGATTTTATGCAGCATCTTGGGGAGAGTGCCACTGCAAAGAGTTGTATTCAGCCAGTTCAGGTACAAGGCTCTGACAAGTTTAAGACATATTATGAATATGAGTCTGGAAATTTTTATATTAATGTCAAAAGTAGATTGAACATTCTTTTTTTTTCTTGGCAAAATATTGATTATAAACAATAACAAGTCTGCTTTAGATCATAGTAATATTTGTTGAAAAAGCTATGTATGTCCAAACTCAGTAAAATTGATAAATTCAACAACACTTTTTGTTATCTTGATTATATTTTTTCGTTAAATAATAAAGAATTCTCTAAATTATAAAATATACTGCCAAAATTTAACCCAAGAAACTTACTTTAAATAAATCAAATACTCACAGCAATAACTGTCCTTTCCTAGATTTAGATATTTCAGTTTTACACGAGAAACTCTACACAAAAATTTACGACAAAAGGGAAGATTTTCCTTTCCCTATAATTAATTTTCCTTTTTGGGACGGTGATGTTCCTTAATATATCCCAACTCGTTCGCTATGCCCTTGTCTGTAGTGTCATTTTGTCAAATGACATTGTATAATGTCATAATACAAAATGTTTACAGAAATAATATATAAATATATATCTAAGGTATGTCTTAGTTTCTTTTTCCATAGTTAGCTTGCATGAAATTTGAAAGTATAAATAAAATGGTTTTGTCTTCAATATTGAAAAGCCTTTAAAATTTTTGCCAATTGTTTAACAATAAAAGAACAGAGTTCCAAAGTCCCCCCCCATTGCACATATTTTATCTATCCAAGGGTGATAACAGAGTTCCAATGTCCCCCTCATTACACATTGCACATATTTTATCTATCAAAGGGTGATAACAGAGTTCCAATGTCCCCTGCATTGCACATTGCACATATTTCATCTATCCAACGACCAAGGGTGATAACAGAGTTCCAATGTCCCCCGCATTGCACATATTTTATCTATTCAAGGGTGATAACAGAGTTCCAATGTCCCCCACATTGCACATATTTTATCTATCCAAGGGTGATAACAGAGTTCCAATGTCCCCCGCATTGCACATATTTTATCTATCCAAGGGTGATAACAGAGTTCCAATGTCCCCCACATTACACATATTTTATCTATTCAAGGGTGATAACAGAGTTCCAATGTCCCCCGCATTACACATATTTTATCTATCCAAGGGTGATAACAGAGTTCCAATGTCCCCCGCATTACACATATTTTATCTATCCAAGGGTGATAACAGAGTTCCAATGTCCCCCACATTACACATATTTTATCTATTCAAGGGTGATAACAGAGTTCCAATGTCCCCCGCATTACACATATTTTATCTATCCAAGGGTGATAACAGAGTTCCAATGTCCCCCGCATTACACATATTTTATCTATCCAAGGGTGATAACAGAGTTCCAATGTCCCCCACATTACACATATTTTATCTATCCAAGGGTGATAACAGAGTTCCAATGTCCCCCACATTACACATATTTTATCTATCCAAGGATGATAACAGAGTTCCAATGTCCCCCACATTACACATATTTTATCTATTCAAGGGTGATAACAGAGTTCCAATGTCCCCCACATTACACATATTTTATCTATCCAAGGGTGATAACTAAAAAAAATTTTTGTTTGTTCTTTAAAACTTTATACAAATATTTTAAGAGAAAAGAAGGCTTGAGAGCAAATACAATGCAATTTCCGATAAAATTAATATTTCCAAGGGGCACTCTTTGTAAAACATTTGATGGGCACTGATTTTTCGAACTTGTCCGAGACATTGCTGATATAAACCTATGATATAAGTTTCATAAAAATCTGGCAAGAATTGTACACATGAGAGCGCTAACAATGAAATTTTCCATTTGTTGCATCTTTGTACTAAGGGAAGATTTACAGTACAATCTTTGAGTTACCAACAGTTCAGAGTTAGGGTTAGTCTTAATATAAGGCTATATATTTTGTTTTGTTGGAAGGATCTGAATATCCGTAATGCTAGATTTGTATTATCCAGAAATTAGGGTCCATCAAATTTTATGGAGTTTGGTCTGTAGATTTATTCAACACTCTCTTAAGTGAAGGATCTTTGGAAATATTTTGAACAAAAAGTGGGTCATCCTCATCTTGCTGGAATTGTAACTTTCTTCATCATTACTTCATGTTACTTTTGGATATTTTGCATCAATAAGCACAGAAAAGGTAAAGAATTTGTTTACATTGAAACATTTATGGTCATCAGGGAAAATTTCATGGCAAAGTTTGCTCTCAAATTCCAGCTGAAAAAATAAAGGCTTTTGTGTTATGCTGTTGTATGAAGGTGTCGCAAAAAAAAATAAATGTGAATAGTGTCCACATGTGGACACAGATGATGCCCCCGCTTGCATATCATATAGTTATAAGGGGACATAACTGAAGAACGGTAAAAGTGATGCTACCCAAATTTGAACTTGATCTGAGTTTTGTGGTAATAAGCATTGTGTGCAAGTCTCATAACATTTGGTTGAGGCTAACTTAAGTAGAGAACAGAAACTAAAAATCAGCAATTTTTCTATTTGTAAACACGCATAACTCTAGAACGGTTGTGTATAAGTTTTATAACATTTGGTTGAGAAAAACTAAAGTTAGAGAACGGAAACAAAAAAAATCAGCAATTTTTATGTTTATAAACGGACATTTATAACTCAAGAATGGTAAAAGTGTTGCCACCAAATTTCGTACTTAATCTGTATTATGTAGTAATAAGCATTGTGTATAAGTTTCATAACATTTGGTTGAGGCAAACTAAAGTATGAAAACAGAGACAAAAAATTTGTACTTGATCTTAGTTTCATGTAATGAATATTGTGTATAGGTTTCATAATGTTTGGTTGGGGCAAACTTAAGTTACAGAATGGAAACTAAAAATTTTGCAATCTTTCGATATATAAAGGGGCATAACTCAATAATGGTTAAAGTGACACTACCCAAATTCAACTTGATCTGTGTTTTATCAGTGGAAGTCAAAATTAAACATTGCATTGTATAAAGCATTGATTGTAGTTGATTCAACTATAATCATGGACAATTGAAGATAACTCCAATTTTAAAAATTACTTGATATTTAGAAGAAAATAAAAATTTTGCAATTTTTCCATTTCTAAAGGGGCATAACTCTAGAACGGTAAAAGTGACGCCACCAAAATTCATACTTGATCTGTGTTTTGTGGTAATAAGCATTGTGTATAAGTTTCATAACATTTGGTTGAGGCAAACTAAAGTTAGAGAATGGAAACCAATTTTGGGACGTACATACGTACGTACAGACGGACAAGGGTAAAACTTAATGCCCCTCCGCTACAGCAGGGGCATAAATATAGCCTTACATTAGACATCATGATTATTTAGACTAAAGTTTACTGAGCCAACTAAGAAGCATCAAGATGGGTAGCCATTATACTCTACCAATAATTTACTGTTTGCAAATCTTTGGCTCAGTAAACTTTAGTGTATTAATGATTGATTATAAATTGCAGAGTTTGTTTTTGGTACCACTGAGGTTTATATGCTGGAAAACTAAAAGATTATGTATGTTACCATGGTTACAATGTATGAATGACGTTTGTGCAGGGAAGAACTGTTCGAGCTCAAAGAGGCAAAAAAAGTTTTGCAAATGAAAATAACACTTTATAAATTTTGTGGGTCCAAAGATTTTTTCTGGATTAACCCGGGGGGCCCTCATTGCAGGTTATATATATAAATTTTGTGGGTCCAAAGCTTTTTTCCGGATTAACCTGGGGCCCTCATTGCAGGTTATATATGTTGTTTTTCAGAAATTTGTTTCTATTATTACTTGTTGCCCACTGCAGTTAGAGGGTCTCTAAAGGGTGAGTGATTTTTTTCATTTGGATTATTAAACAGTTTTTCCTATTTATAATGACAGACTATCATTTAGATTATTTTATTGTAGTGTCACATACTATTTAATATAGAATCAATGTTATTTACAGAAGTAATAAAAATACTGTAGCAAGATTTTAACGATGTAATGAAAAAATTAATTCTACAGACCTTCATCATGTTCATTTACTTTTTACTTTTTAGTTGCTTATAGTGCTTAATGATTTTGGTTGCTTTGCATGGCTATTCTATTCATTTATTTGTGCTTATATGTTCTGCTTATATATGTATGCTTTGATTGCCTTGCATGTATATCATATTCATTCTATGTCTGTATCATGTGTATGTGTATGTATATATCTGTTTTATATATACGTATTATGTGTTATTGTTTTATATATTCAGTGAAAATCTATCAAGAGCTTATGTTTGTATGTTTTAAACCATGCCGAATCAAAATAAAGTTTTCTTATCTTATCTTATCTTACCTACATTGTAGAAAAAATTAGGAAAAATAAACTTTTTTAAAATAATCTCCCACCTCCCACTTTTAGAATCTTTTTTCTCTCCCACCTTCTGTCCCCTTCCTCCCACCTCACGCTCCCTCCCCCACCTCCAACCTCCCTCAAAAGCTGTCCACCCCTTCGTTAAACAAATACATGTTAAAGGTCAAAATAATACTTGGTGTCGAATTGTTTATAAACGAAATACCGAAATGACATTTATGATTTAATAGGCACGATAGGTTCCGCTTTGAATTGATACCGATTTGACAATTTCTATAAGTGCCGAATATAAAGACCAGATCCGTTTTGACTTGTTCCCGTTTGTATGCCCTCCACTATACTTCAACTTGGCTCTACTGTTCAACTATCTGCTAAAAAACGGTTTCTAATCTTTACCAGCAATTCGTTGTGCATGTTTCTTTTCTTCTTCGGGTTCAATTTTTCTCGGCCAATACATCTTCGTCCTGACTTGTTGTCGATCAACTGTAACAACATTTTGTAGAACACTTTTTAATCTCTTCATTGCTTGAGACATGTTCGTAGAGAATAACCTCCCTTGTTTTTAGGCGTGTTTGACTTTTTAGCTGAGATAAGGGTATGCCTAATCACCGTAAAAAAGGTAATGGCTAACGTACAAGTTATATTTTATTACTGGTTAAAATCAAATAATTACATTATATTTACTTTGTTAATTACATGTCTGATAATTACAAAGAATCATTGTAATCGTTGCAATTGTTGTATCTATCTAATGTGATGTTTTATTCAGCTCAGCTATGGGCGCTACACACTATTCTGTAAACCTAGAGCAAATAGAACCTAAGATATAATATATTAGTATACTTATCCCCTATAGAATCAATATATTAAGATATATACTGTAAATTCTCTTCTTGTTCTTCATTACACTTATTTTTTTCTAATTTTTAAAATAGATAAATTGACTTGTATTTGACATGTACTGTACCTATGAACATGTATTTATTTTAAAATGTACGTAACTATGTATGTAAATTGTGTTTACTGTAGTGTCTATGTCGGTTTTAAAAGACCATCATGGCTAGTCAAGGTAGTTAAACACCCCTTAGTAGTTATGCTGAACTGTTGTCGTACCGACTTTAAATAAAGCTTCAAAGTTTAAATTCTATCTAATTGATCAGTAGATATTTTTTTACTATGTCATTTATCAGCAAGAAGGCTAAATATTATGGCGTACGGAAAGGGTCAAAGTATGATATCTCGGAATTTTGTGAACCAATGTTAATATTACTATACAATAATGTTAACCAGCATGTGCAGATTTGCAATCGGGGTATGGCACAATCAAGATGGCCGCCGTTACCATGGAAACAGCAAAAATGTCAAAAAAATGAAAATGCTGCAAAGTTAATGAGTTTTTACCATAATGTTAATTGGCATGTGTAGATGCGCTCTCTGACTTTCGAATTTTCAAAATGGCTGCCGTTACCGTGGCAATGGGGAGAAGGGTGCCATCCGTTATTGCTCGCAATTACAAATCTAGTTATTATGTCACCCGATCGACAATGTCGGGTGACATATTGCTTTTCCTCTGTTTCTTTTTCCCTATTATTATTATTTTTCTTCCACCTAATTTTGTCCGGCAGTTTTCTCGGAGGCAATGGAACCAATCTTCATGATTGTTGAGCATAACGAGGACCACCATCAGTGGAGTTGCAGTGAAACTTTGGAACTTTAAAATGGCCGCCGTTTCCATGGAAACAGCAAAAATGTGAAAAATATTTTTTTTGTTTTTGATGACTAATTTGAGAATGCCTAAACTAAAAATCATCAAATTTTTATACAGGTTTTGGATAATTTTGAGAATCACCGGAACTACTGTATTGCCATGGAAACTGGGGAAAGGTTTCCCCATTATAACCCTATGTGAAAAACCTTAAAGTAGCATTTTCTCTCTTAAAATGGTAGGTCAAATCCATTGAAACTTTGATGGTATGTTCCCTCCCATGTACCAATGTGGCATCTGTCATTACAATTTCGGGAATGGTCTTTGTCACTATGGAAACCAACAAAAATGCCAAAAATTTCAAAATGCACCAAACTTAATATAACTTGTTAACGTTGTGCACGATGTTCCTACAACACGACGTTACACTAAAAATGCGGCGTCAAAGAGGGTTTTTGACTTCGATTAATTTTTGCAAGTTTTATTCGTTTTTTTATATGTTGTTGGTTGATTCTGGTTCTGTTCTTTTTGTGATGTCATTTTATCATAAATACCTCAAGTTGTGGAAATTGATTTACTTATGTTTACCCTTTAAGTTATTTCGCCGAAAAATGCAGTACTGTCGCAAGTAACGTAGGAAGGAAAAATGGGACGGAAGTACATGTATACGGTTTTCCATAAATAAATAATTTTTTTTTTAGATGTACAAAACTTTTATCATAGGATGTTTAATTTCATGGTGCAAATCATCTGTCATTTTAAAATTTCTATATCTTAATTCAACCCAAATGCAAATATGTCTGATACTCTGCAAGTAAACCGAAACATTTTTACCCTTGGTTAATTTGAATAGAATTGTATTTTCCCTGGCACATAATTTGTCGAAATACACCGCTTCAATTACTTGAACCTTGGCTTGAGAATTATTTCCCAAGTCATCTAAAGTTGCTTGCTTAAATTGTTTAACTTCTGATATACATTTTGAATATAGTAATCTACTCCTGGATCGTTCGTAAAAAAATATTACAATCCCGGGTTTTATTTATTCAATGACACGGTTTTCGTCGCTGTTTGTCTTTCAATTACCTCCATTTCATGCACAAGTTTATATTGGCGAAAAGTTCCGGCTTCGCTTGTGCAGGAATTACTTTCATCACGACAGTTATAACATGAATAGCAGGACAAATCGCGAAGTAAAACATTCCGTGGACTTGTATTAAGTCTTTTAATATTGGTGAATGTACCTTACTGAAGTGACGACTTTAAATGATCTATTTCGGAGTACTTCCGCAACATAAATTAAAATTCGCATTTTACATTTAGAGAACGGTCTTGGTGTCTCCAATTTGTCTTTGCAAAAGTTGAACGAAGTTCATGTATTCGTTCATGTAATGAGATTTTTTTTCCATTTCACCATTCTTTTAAATAAATCGTTAAAAGCTATAAACGATTAATAAAAATTGCAAAATTTAACCCGTGTCGAATCTATGTCCCTGGCCGGAGTCTGTAGCAACATGCAATATTCTTTTTTTTTTCGGCAGCCATCATCATCTTTTTCTAAATTTCACCAAACGATTTGTTTTAATTATCATGAGCATTTAATTGAAACTTATGCACATGTAACGTCGGAAAGTAGCGTTTTTCGGATTTTTCGACGTTTTCAGACGTTTGGACAAATTAGCTACCGTTTTGTAATGTGTGGAAGCATTTTATTCCTTTAACACCCAAACATGTAGTTAATAAGAAAAGAATCTTGGCATTTTGTACTCTTCGTGTATCTAACTTTTGTTTTGATCAATTATAAATAACTTATTGAAAAATCAGTTAAAAAATACGCGTTAACTGCTTTGAAAAATGAAATATCAACTTGGACAAAATGGCTACCGCTTGAAAAACGACTGTGTAGAGAAGATTTTATAGAATCTGCAATATTTGAACTCACGAACAATGAGGCAAATATTTGTACTTTTGATAGATGTTATTATTGTGTTACTCTTTTTATTTATTTTCTGCTATATCTACTTATAAAATTCACTTTCAGTCGTTGAGTTAACGAAAAACGTCGTTGGACATTTTTCTTATTCAAGCTTAATATGCAGCCACCAAGTCAAATGAAATTTGGCAAAATAACGGCTTTAACGTCACAGAGAACCGACAAATGTCGTTGTTCCTGCCAAGTTTCAGGAAGATCAGAGAATAAGAAATAGGATCACTATATATAAGAGTTAAAACAGTTTTTCATAAATGTAACGTTGGACATCCGTTTTTTTTCCACATAGCTTTGTTATTTTAATCCTCAAATATACTAGATATTACTTAGTATATGATCAAGAGCTATAAAAACATAATTTAAAACATATACTGAATTTTTTTTAATAGTGGTTCGTGTTTGCTAACATTTTTATTTTGTTTTGCGGAGGAAATTTCGAAGATTCTGTTTTAAATCCTAGGGGTTGTAGGAACAGCGTGCGTAACGTTTTTATATTAACGCTAATTAACTGGCATGTATAGATAAGACTTTTGACTTTGGAATTTCTAAAATGGTCGCCGTTGCCATGGCAACAGCAAAATGTGAAAATTTCAAAATTCTTCAAATGTTCTGAAAATTTACAGAAAGATGTATTACCATGCATATATGTGCATTCACTGTTTAAAATTTTTGAAATGGCTGCCGCTGAGTGGCAATGGGGGGAGGGTGACATCCGCTATTGCTTGCGATGGCAAATCTAGTTATTATTATTATTCCTCACTTTTTGCCCACACTATTTCTTGGAATCGTATGGACCAATTGTAATGGAACTATACCATAATGTTAATAACCATTGGCAGAAGTGCAGTCGAGGTTGGCACTTTCAAGATGGCCACTGTTACCATGGAAACAGTAATAGAGTGAAAAAATGAAATTTTAGTTTTTGGTGAATAATTTGAATGTGCCTAAACATTAAATCATCATATTTTCATGCAATGTAGCTGTCCTCTCTAAAAATGTTCTGGATGTTTTTGATATTCATTGGAACTACGATGTTGCCATGGAAACTGATAAAATATATCGAAAATTTGAAAATTCTTTAAAAATGTGTAAAACTTTCCAGAAATGTTGTCTGGCAAATCTAGATGTGGCATTTAATTTGGATTACCAAAATGGCTGCCGTTACCATGAAAACAAGGAAACAATATCGAAATGCTCAAAACTTAAGGAAACCTTACAAAAATGTTAAACACCATTTATAGTTGTTGGCTTTGACTTTTGAATTTTCAAAATGGCCGCCGTTGCCATGGAAACAACACAATTGTTAAAAATTGAAAAAAGTGCCTTACACTATCAAAATCAACAGAAAGATCTGTCATGCCTATATCTGAATTCACTGTTTGCAAATTTCGAATTGGCTGCTATTTATTGGCAATTGGCGGACCAAGGTGACATCCGCTATTGCTTGCAATGGCAATTCTAGTTATGGCACCCTCAAAGGAGTTGGGGTGACATATTGTTATTCTGCGTTTCTTTTTTTCTGTTTTTTATTTTTCTTCCACTTTTTTGTCCAGCTTATATCTTGGAATTCTACGAACCAATTGTTATGGAACTATACCATAATGTTAATCAGCATGTGCAATCGGGGTATGGCATTTTCAAGATGGCCGCTATTTCCATGGAAACCAAAAAAAGGTGAAAAAATCAAATTTTAGGGTTTAGTGAATCATTTGGGTATGCTTAAACTTAAAAACATCAAATTTTAATACAAGGTAGTTGTCCACTATATACAGGTTTTGGATGATTTTGACAATGATCGGAACTGCTATGTTGCCATGGAAACTGCAGCGAAAATTTCAAAAATTTCAAAATGCTTCAAACTTGATGAAGCTT